ATGAATTTTTATACATCTATGTATGCTGCAATTTCTAATTAATTATATTGGAACTTTATCAATCAGTGGCTTTCTTTTTTTCCCATTTGATATTGTGATCTCAATTTTGTAAAGGTAATCAATTTTAGAGCATGAAATGACTACTTTGTGCTCTTATATTTATGGATACTCATTTAACAGTTTTTTGGCTCAATTTTTTGCAAATATTCTTTATGTTTTGTGATATATTGAAATAATATTCTGCAAAAAGGCTCCCTAACTTCTAAAAATATATGATGGCTACAATTCTTCAGGGATAAAACACGTGCATTAAAATACTTTTTTGGTTAAATATGGAAATAATTAACTAAAATTCTTATGAGTTTTATTCGGTATACATCATTTCTTAGGGCTGTTTACCATACACATAAATTTCTTACAGAATTTCTTATTTAACAGCTGGAAGACTTGGGAACTTTGGCACCAGAGAAGTGTGAAAGTAAGTGAAGAAGCATCGGGAAATTATAAATACTTTCTGCCGTCGTGCTGGTTTTCCCTTTCAACCCTCAGGGTGCATTCAACCCTCAGGGTTTTCCACTACAGCATGCCATGGTATCCATGAACATTTTCATGTTTCCTCCCTCTAAAGGAGGTGGGGATATGGTGTGTCCAGCCCTTGGGCAGTGCTCTGACATGAACCTTTTTGGAGCCCTCCTCTGTGCATCCTGTGTGTTGGTGTGAGGAAACCCAGTGGAGTGGCCTTTGAGCAGGGCTTTATACACCTGAGCACCACCTCAGCACTGGTGAGTTAAAAAGTCAAAAAGCTTCACTGCAAGGAATAAAGCCTGGAAAAGCCTGGAGTCATTGCCTAGAGGAAAAAACCACTGCAGTGACTCAAGTGGACAGATTTCAGGTACTGTATCTTACCAGGACCTGTGAGATGAACTCCTTCATTGTCCATCTTCCTCCTCATTCTGGCTATGAATACTGCTAATCTGAGCTGCCATGTTCATCCTAGCAAACTGCTAGCAAAGGCTGAAGGAATAAGCAAATCTTTGAAAATGCAGGGCGTTTCTTCCTTTGATATGACAGTTCATCAATGCAAGAAAGCTAGTTGTAATTTTGATCAAGAGTCCAGTCTACATTGGTAAAGACCAAAGAAAAATGGACACAGCTTAATTCCAAAGGTTGATTTTAAATACAAAAAATGCTGTCTCAGTTCTCCATGGAATTCTGAGAAGCCTGTGGCAGAATTTTAGATGGAGTAATTTTTTTATTGAAGTTACCAAGATGATATCTATCCTCAGATAATGATTATTGATTGAAATTAATTTAGATCAGACCCCTCAGTGAACTTTAGGAAATACAGTAAGCTCTCTTTATTTCACTGGGTGATCATTATTTAGGAAAGGACATAGTTATCACAGGATGGAAGAATTACTTACCAGTTTGACTCCCTGTTGCAGTCATGTGGATCTAAACTGTGTTATACAGAAATTTTTGACAGGGAGGAGAAGAAGGTAAGAGAGGACCCAGTGTGATTTATAGAAAATGAAACAGGTTCATCCATTTCCTAGTTACGGTCATTAACAGTGGTATAATTGTGCATAATCACTGGTCCCATTCCTGGTGTACATTGCTAGGGGCTAACTAAACTTTGCATCTGCATAGAAATTTAGATGCAAATATGAATTGTGTTCACTGGTATGACTAGTGTAAAGTAAACAAAGGGTACTTCTATTGTATATTTAAGGTTGAGAAACCTATTTTGTGAACAGCATGCTATCAGCAAAGACTTCACAGTTATTAAGTAACTGCAAAAGGACATGGTCATATCAATGATGGGTAAGGAAAAAGCCATATATAAAGAGCACAGCAGTGTTGGGATATTGATAGGCACTTGTGGTTGTCCCCATCTGGGAAAACTGCAATAATTCTCTCTCTGTATCATGGTTTCTGTGTTTTAAAACAAAACAGAAAGGGCTGTGGAGGGAAGGAAAAAGGATCTGAATGCTAAGCAGTAATGTGAGGATGAAGAATACAGAGAGTTAGAGCAAAATGGATGGTTTAATTTCTCATCATTTTTCTACCAAAGAATTAAATTTGCAAGGTCATGTTGTGGGCTATTCAATCAGAGGTATATCAGTGAAGGTAACTGGATTCAGATGAGTTCCCATCCAACAGATATTCAAAGCAGTGAGTTCCCTAAATATATGTACAAAACAGTGTTGTCTAGACTCATGTTGCATATTAAATCAAACCTTGAATTCCAGGAGTTAAAGAACCTTATTTTAGGACCTTAACAAAAAATCTGACCAGAGCTCTGAGATCCACCATCCCAGATTTACTTAATGAGATAACACTGTATTTCCTTCCTATGACTTTCATGTACTTTAATTTTTTTGTTTCTGTTTGAAATTCTCCACCAATACTTGTATTAGCAGAAGTTTGCTTAATAAAACTGCCCTGGCTCACTAGTACATAGTCATGGTAGAACAAACACAAAAAGTACTGGTTACCTGAAATCAGGACTGTGCATCTACTGAACATATTAAATAAGGGCTTACTTTAATTCCTTTACATAAAAAAGCTGTATTTCAGGTGTACTTGCAATCAAATGTGGGGAAAAAAAATCAGAACATAGAAGATGAAGGAGAGTTTAGTTACTGTAGAA